GTTATCTCTTCCTTACTGTACCCAACATTAAAAAAAACAAAAACATTTTGGCTATAAATATACTTTGGGGATTATTTATAAAATAATTATTATTATTAATAAACAGGATTTATATAGCGCCAACAGTTTGCGCAACGCTTTACAATATAAGGAAGACATTACAATCACAATACAATTCAAGACAAGATGGTAAGGAGGGCCCTGCCCCTGAGGGCTTATAATCTAAGAGAGAGGGGCCAGTGATACATGAGGAGGTAGCTGTGTGGGGATGAATTGTTTGAGAACATGATGGTTGAGTGGTTAGGTTGAGGTGGGACAGGCTTCCCTGAAGAGATGAGTCTTAAAGGATCGCCTAAATTGCATTACCATGGATCTTTCAAAACTGAACATAGATTTGTTCTGTGCGAATGTGGGCAAAAATTAAGGTTTCTTTCTACGTCTAATGTAATTCATTCATAAGACTAGTGAATCAGGAAATACCACATTTTGGCCACTAGATGGCGCTGATGAGCAAAGGAAATAAATACCTCATTATGGACACTAGATGGAGCCAAGGAGCATAGGAAAAAAGTATTGATTTCCTATGTTCCTCACCGCCATCTAGTGACCATAGGGGTATTTTCCTGATTTGCTTTGATCTTATCAGTGAACCACATCATGGCCACTAGATGGAGCCGAGGAGCATAGCAAATAAATATTTTTTTTCCTATGACCTTTATCTCCATCTAGCGGCTATGATGTGGTTCATTCATAAGATTAGAGTGAATCAGAAAATAGCAAATTATGGCCACTAGATGGAGCCGAGGATCATAGCAAATAGATATGTATTTCATTTGCTCCCCAGCGCCATCTAGTGGCCAGAGCGTGGCATTTTCTGAGTCACATGTGTTTTTGCTCACATTCGCACAGAACAAAAGGACACGCACGTTCGCAGGACAAATAGTTCTGCAAACTTTTTGTTATAAATACCTTTGTTTATGTACCTGGCTGCTGCTACAAAAGCATGCTACAACACAGGGTATTGTAGCAGAGGTCAGCATTAGACTGGGTTCCCACCGGCTGGTCTCAGAGTGCAGTTAGTGCCAGAACTATGCAGGCACTGTCGGGCGGAAAATCAATCTGCCCAGTGGTGCCTGCACTCATAGCTGGCACTCTGCAACTGGCTATACCCAGGACCGAACGCACCCACTGCACAGCTCTAGGTGCACCTCCGATGAGGGTGAATCTATCCAGCGGTAGCAATAAAAACCTGATGGCGGGACTAACCCTCCGATACCTTATCCGACCCTAAAAAATTCAGCTTTGGATACAATTATACGACCACTGACCTGACGGGCGACTACTTCTGTTATATTTGAACTTCCTTCAAAAGCCAAAGATGATCCCATGATTGGAGAATATTTTGCTGTTGGCGGTCTCACCGCCGTCCTGTGCGTTGTATTCATGTACGCGCGGCTAAAAATGGATTTAGGAAAACGTCATGTATCCGCAGATGGCGCGGCGAATGTGGCACCCAGGAGACGGGTATATTCATCTCCCCGAGCTTTAAATAACAATGGGAGCAGATGGTTAGTTATTTTATCATCATTTCCGGGTTTCAGTGAACAGAACTTCACACCCAGGATTCTGTTTTCCAAGAAATGTAAAAACTTCAGATTAAAATAAACAAGAATACTTTCCTATAGTTTCAAAAGGTGGAAATTTAGAGGGTTAGTCACTAGGAAGCAGAAGGATCCAGACGCAGCTTCAGCTCACTTCGGCCGCCGGAGCCCTTCGGTTCAGTTCATAGTTGTACAATATCCCATACAGCAGCCGAAGGCGGCCGAGCGGCTCAGCCAAGCCGAACCCATATGCTTTGGCTCGGCTCGGCTGAGCTGTAGTGACACCTGAAGCGTGGAGAAAGGTCGGCCGAAGACGACCAATCTCCACGCAAATGACGGCTGGGAGGAGCCAGCCGTGATCGCACGGCTGGCTCTGCCCAGTTGTAATGACAGATCAGCGTCCCCAAATGACCTGGGGACGCTGATCTGTCATTAAACAATAACAACTGGGCGGCATCACGGCCAGCTCCGCCCAATTGTTTTATCTGCCAGGGACCTGCTAGAAGACTCTGGCAGGTGCCGGCCAATAGTAATCAGTTGGGCGGAGCTAGCGGTGATATCACTGCTAGCTCGGCCCAATTTATATTTTGCTGGCATCTGTCAGATTGTCGCCAAATGCTCAGAGTTACTGAGCAGAATAGCCGAGCCGAATGCCACTCGGCAGCATTTGGCTATTCACTCACTGTTGTTCGGCCCAGTGGCGTAACCAGAGTACAAAATTTGGGGGGGGGGGGGGTATTGGCAGGCTCCTGTCCTTCTTCTGTGCAGGGGAGCCCGGGTCCCTGTAGGGAAAGAGCCTGCCAATCAACTGGTTATCATGGCAAGTGGGCCATGATATTTTTTACTTTTTAATCACCTTTTTATTTTCTTAGTTTAATATTTTTTTCCTATAATTTTGGCTGCAGTCTTATTACAAGTGACATTGCCGAGATCACTTGTAAACAAACAATCGGCTTTGTGCAAAGCAGGACTAAATGTAGAAAGCAAATTACCGCCCGGGATTCAACACCGCTGCAGCCCGTAAATCTTTCACTCGCTGGGTCTCGCTTGTCACTGCCCGGCGGCCAGCGCCCCCCCACCCCAGCTTTGCACCCGGGGCAGCCGCACCGACTGCCTCCCGGTTGTTACGCCACTGGTTCGGCCCCCATGTGAATAGGGGTGAATGGCAGCGAGTGAGCTGCCGGAGCTTCGGCTCAGCCGATCCAGCTGTTAGAGAGTCGAACTCTTCTGCACTTTGGCTCACGCCAACATGCAGAGCATGAAATCAGCCATACAAGGTGAATAGCCGGACAGCGTTTGGCTCACTTCACTTCGGCTGGGTCATTCACTCGGCTGCCTTCTAAGGCTGGGTTCACACCTAGGCGTATCGAATATGCGCGTTTGTCGCGCGCTTCGTGCCGCACGTTTTTACTGCGATTCGCAGTAGACAAGCACGCGTTTCCGAGGGCTACCTGGCTGTATCCCAATAGATATGTGTGGCAAATACACCCCAAAGAAGCTCCTGTACTTCTTTGGACGTAGGGCGTTTTGCAGCGCATTTTGCAGCGCGTTCCTACGCGCTGTAAACAGTAGAAAGGTATCATGGCACACTCACAAGTCAGCATGTAAAAAAACTTGTCTCACCACTGAGGTTAAAAGCAGAGGTTTAGATACACGTCTTCTGCAGAAAATGTGAAAGCCGCACAGCCGCACCAAGACACCTCTATATAGTGCGTTCTTAACTCTAAACTATGAGAGTCTCCATCTTGGAGCACATGGGGGCCGAAGATTTCAAAAAAGATTTCAAAACGCGCTGTAAAACGTCCAGGGGGGGACCAGGCCTTAGTGAATAACCCCCTTGGACTTTTGAGTATGACTTTACATTAGAACTACAGCCAGTCTGTAGACATTAAAACAGTAACAAGCAGTGAACAAGTGTTGGAATAAGTCATCACTGACCTCTGCATCTGCATCCACTGTGCAGCAATTCTTCCTCAAAGTTGAAGACATTTAAGTCTGGTCTCAGCACTCTGCTCTCTCCTATCCCTCGCATGTTTACATTGGAGGCTGCCACATCACTGCTGGCAGGGGGGAGCAAAACCAGCTACTTAGAGAAGCTGCAAGTGAAAGTGTTTTTGTTGTAAACTTTAAGGCTGAAGTTTAATCTGCTTATATTTTGTCTTCCCTGGTTTCCCCTCCCCCCTCATCAACATGCTACTGTCCTTTTCATGACATACTTTATTTTAGACCCTGTGATGTCATCCCTGGGTCTTTCTGCTTCTCTATACAATGCAGGTAGATCGTGGCTGGTGGGGGGAATGGGGGGGAGGGACAGGCAGGATGCTGTACATAGCTTCCTGAAAACATTACAGCACCCTACCTCAGTACTCCTCAAGCCTTGATGGGCAGATATTAGCCTGGAGAAGTGGGTGCCTCTAGGCAGGCTGCAGACCGTCCTAGGTAACACCCACATGTGATGCTGAGCCTCCATGATTGACAGCAGTGATATCCAATGAATGAAAGGGTTGGGGCCAGGGACAGTCAGGCTGGGAAGGAAAAAGAAAAATGATGCTGGACGTCCTCCAGCCAGGAAATGAGGCGGGCTCTATGTGACTTGCTGCAGTTGTATTGGTAGCGGAAGTTGAATTATCCGTCTTGTCAACATACCGGGTCGCCAAAAAAATACACACTGAATCATCACGAACTAGAAGATTGTGCCAAACATTGGAGGCAATTAACAAGTTGGCCGTGTGAGCAATTTTCGATCGGCCATTTGCAAATAGGCAATTAGTGATCATTAGCCCCCAGGTTAAAAAACAAACAAACATTGCAGAGTACTAATGCACTGGATGCCGGTATACATGGGAGGCTGGTATTACAGAGTATTTTGCAGCGTATGCATATTTACAATTATCGTTCCAGTGTTCACCTAAAAGTATATCAGATGCCAAAACTTTATTTTGGATGGAGTCGGGAATGGTTGTTTTTTGTTTTTTTATTGCCATCTGTAAGCTGAAGTTTATTCTGCTAATATTATTTTATTAAAATTACATTTTTAAATAAATCTTTTCCGTTCTCATGACGTATCTTATTTTAGTCCCTGTGACATTATAATGGGGTGTCTCTGCTTCTCTATACAATGCAGGCAGATCATAGCTGGTAGGAGGGGCCGGCAGGGTGCTGTACATAGCTTCCTGAAAACATCACAGCACCCGGCCCTGATGCAAGCAGTCGGCTGGCCCTTGGGAGGAGTTATGCAAATATCACAATGTCTTGATAGGGGGGCGTCAGTCTGGAGTGGTTGGCGTTCCTAGGCAGGACGCATTTGCACCTAATAATAAACTTTTACACTGTGTTCTATTTGCACTCTTCCCCACACATTGTTATATGACGCGTCCTCTGTCTTCTTCTTTCTATTAGGGAAATTCCGGCCTTGGATTTAGCATTGCCGGAGGTATAGATAATCCTCACGTGGGGGACGATCCGGGAATTTTTATAACAAAGATCATCCCAGGAGGGGCAGCAGCGGAAGATGGAAGACTCAGGTGAGATCAGATGTGGATGGCATATGGTGTTATGTATTAAAAAAATGTCAACGGCCCCATACATTCGCCAACACTTTCACCTGATAAATTCATCGCATACGATGTTCATTGATTGTTCTAGTTTAATTTTTCTTAAATGTTTATAGGCAATCGTTAATCACACAATCACTGTAAAGTGCCCCCTGGGAAATACGAAGGCTGTTGTTGTAATTGGGGCTTTTGTACGTAAGTCATGTCAACTCTCATAAATGTATGCACCTCTCGTATCTTGCAGTGTATTGTACGACAAAATGAAAATAAAAATCTTCTTGATTAAAAAAAAAAAAAAATGTCAGCGTTGGTCATCCGTCGAAACCGCCATGTACATTATTTCAGCATGAATGGGGGCAAAAACAAATGTTATTAGTACATTTTCTTTCCAGGTCAAATGTAATTCATTCAGAAGGTTGCAGTGAATTAGGAAAGTTCCACATTATGGCCAGCAAATGGAGCCATGGAGCATAGGAAATAAATACTTATGTCCCATGATCCTGGGCTCCACCTAGTGGCCATAGTGCGGTACTTTCCTGATTCACTCCAATCTTATGAATGAACCACATTATGGCCACTAGATGGAGCTAAAGATGATAGGAGCAGGTTAATAGCACCTCCTAGCTCCAATTATGCCAATGCAATCAACACCTGGTTGCGACTAACAGATTATGTGGATTGGAGCGACATTCACCATATTTATTCCCAGATAATTTTTTGTACAAGTCGTTCTGAATTGAGAAAGATGGTTGGATGTCCAGTGCAATGTCTTCAAGAAAAATACAGCAAGTCCAGTTGCCTTGGACCAATCCACAGAGCTCACACAGAGTAGAGGCTGTGACAGCTCTTGCCTCACTAGTTAGGTTACACAAGCAGTGGGGAAGCCCGCTGCTGTGTAACCTAACTAAATGTCAAAAGCCGGATGCAGTGCCACCTGTAAGTAACAGGCAGCGCTCCGTCCATGACAGGTGACACAGTGGGAAGGATTTCCCTTCTGTGTAACCTGTTACAAGCCGATCTGAATGGAGAAAAAGCTGTCAGCTTCAGCCTTGAAGCTGACAGCTTTTTCCTCCATAATACCAGCTGAGGCTCCTCCTGCCCTGCCTCCCCCTGACCGCACGTCCCTGTATAAACCACATTGTGCAGATGCTGGGGATGTTGGAATTCACATAACTCGCTCTGTTATCTCCCCCTGATTTTTCCTCTAATTTGCGACCTGCCTGACTACAGTTTTCTTTATTTGGTCTCTGATGAACTTTGTTTTACTCTGTGAGATTTGGCGTTAAACCTGTTTATTTATTAATCGTAATTAACTAGTGCGGCTGGATACATAAACCGATGATACCTGGTAACCAACTGCAGGGATCTCAAGTCTCCCTGATGTTCAGGGAGTCTCCCTCAATTATACAGCGGCTCCCTGACGTCTGTGAGAGAGGCATTTTCTCCCTGAAAGGTTTACTCTGAGTAAACCTTTCGCTTGGCTCTGTCTCAGAAGGAAGAAGCTACTTGCTGCACAGAGAGGGCGGACATAGACTACTACTGAGAGCAGGTACAGGCACCGAGATCTACTGCTGCAGGGTTGAGAGAGTGCTGTTAACCCTTTGTGGATAATATAGAATCAATTATATGTCCTGGTTGTCTAGTTATAGAGAACATTTATTTCATTTGCTGCCCATAGCAACTAGTCAACTGTGTATCAGGGACTTCACAGCTCAGCGGTTTTTAAAAAAAGGTCTCGGGCTGTCTAATAAATTGTGACCTTTACACTGACAGATACTTGAACATCAATTCACAAATCTGATGGATATATATATATTTATATATAATCATTATTATTTCTTTTATATTCTGACGACGGCCGCTGTAAAAAAACAAAAAAAAACAGAAAGGGAACCTCCCTGAAATAAGGTTTTGCAGGTTGGGATGTCTGCAACTGGAAAATCTGAATAATTCTAATGCTTTCTGAAACCTATCAATGTGCACTTACCCTGCCACGCATATGAATTCAAGGTGGATAATTACACTGCATTCTATGGGGAGGTCTAACGTTCTCATTATTTATTGTGATATGACTATTTCAACATCCCCGTACCTAAAGCCATCTATTAGACCCGTTTTATCCTTCAGAACATTATCGGTATTAACACCTGCTTGTGTTTATTTTGTTCTCTCACTTTTCCCGCTTTATGTGCTCAGAAATATCATTTTGTCACTGAGAAAGAATTTCTAGATTAAAAAAATCTATTTTGTTGGATGCTTTATGATTAGTGATGCAAATGCACGAAAAATATTAAAATAAACATTGCGCATGACAAACATGAGTGAGCGGAGACTGAAAACCCAAATTTGGATGCGGATGTAAGAAAAACATTCTAAAAAATTAATCGTTGTCACAAATTACAATTGTCCTATGGATGAGTGAAACTTTCTTTAATTTGTTGTAGACGTCTTCTGCATAAATGTAGAAAAGCTCCTAACCTGAGATAACCTGGCTCCTAACCTGAGATAGGCGAACCTGTGGGTACCTTGACACAAGTAACCTGGCTCCTAAACCTGAGATAGGCAAACCCTGGGGGTATCCCAGTCTTAGTCGGTAGGGTTTAATGTTGAGTTGTCCCACCCTTTGCAGCTATAACAGCTTCAACTCTTCTGGGAAGGCGTCCACAAGGTTTAGGAGTGTGTCTATGGGAATGTTGGACCATTTGTGAGGTCGGGTACTAATTTTGGAGGAGAAGGCCAGGCTCGCAGTCTCCGCTCTAATTCATCCCAAAGGTGTTCTATCGGGTTGAGGTCAGGACTCTGTGCAGGCCAGTCAAGTTCCTCCACCCCAAACTCGCTCATCCGTGTCTTTATGAACCTTGCTTTGTGCACTGGTGCGCTGTCATGTTGGAACAGGAAGGGGCCATCCCCAAACTGTACTTCCGAGCCCTGGTTCTTGCTTGCCTTGATGGAAGCATCAAGATTTTGAGAAGATCACATATTACGGATCTCCTTTTGCATGGTGGAGGGTGCATGGGATTATAGCTTCCCAAATAGATTTGCTATGAATGAATGAACCACATTATGGCCACTAGATGGAGCTAAAGATGATAGGAGCAGGTTAATAGCACCTCCTAGCTCCAATTATGCAAATGCAATCAACACCCGGTTGCGACTAACAGATTATGTGGATTGGAGCGACATTCACCATATTTATTCCCAGATAATTTTTTGTACAAGTCATTCTGAAGTGAGAAAGTTGGTTGGATGTCCAGTGCAACGTTTTCAAGAAAAATACAGCAAGTCCAGTTGCCTTGGACCAATCCACAGAGCTCACGCCTCTAACACAGAGTAGAGGCTGTGACAGCTCTTGCCTCACTAGTTAGGTTACTAGATTTAGATTTTCTGGCAAGTACTTGTTGGAAAGTTCCAACGTCCTTTGGGATCGCATGGTAAGGACAAACAAATGTTACAAAAGAGCAGAGGAGTAAGCAGATGTTTCATGTGGAACAAGAAAGAAAACGGAGCGTGTTTGGGCTAAGCTCAGCTGTGCCTGAGTGCTGCAGAACTTTGATAGTCGCATGTGTTCAGCCCAAATTAGCGTCACGCAGTGCCCGAAGCAACGCACAGACTTCTCTCCTTGTTTCATCCGAATGACTCAGATCGCAGTGCTGGTCACAGTCAACCCTTCACAAATATGGAGATATTTTGTTAACCCCTAATGAAGAAAATCAGGCAGACTGTTGTAGAATATTTTTGGATGCTTCTGTAAGCTTCTATATCCTGATATGCATACGTGCTGGAAGGAAATAAATAAAGTTCATGGTTTCAATTACAGAAAAAAATGAAGTTTCGGACTACTGTGGAAAGATAGCACAACAACATTATTATTATACAGGATTTATATAGCGACAACAGTTTGCACAGCACTTTAACATGCCATCAATGACCTCTCTGTACAGTGATGTCTTGGTTTTATCTCTTTCCTGAGTAGTTGGGGCCTATATTCAAATATAACATTTGGAGTCATTCACACTTATGCACACGTTGATGTGTATTTTGATGGAATGGTCTGTGGAAGTAAACAATCTCTCAAGCTTAGTGGTCAGTGGGAGTTAAAATAAAATTACCTAGCGTCTGCAGTCAGTGGGAGAAGGAATAATGCCACTTTATTGGTGCCCTTGAAAGGAATAGTTGGCCATCACTGGTATCAGTTGGGATTTAAAGTGCCCGATCATTGGTGTCAGTGGGAAGAACTGTATCTTTTGTTGGTGTCAGTGGGAGAAATTACACTGCATCCTTTGTTTTAGTGGAGGAGTAGTGCCTCATTGTTGGTGTCAGTGGGAAAAATAGTGCCACAAGAGCCAGATAAAGGCTAGCAAAGGGCCACAGTTTGGGGACCACTACTGTACTCTACAACTAAGACTTACTAGACTAGTAAAAATCAGACTGCTACAGGCAAGAGGAATCATTTCCTCAGTGAAGGTTATAACTTCCTTCTAGGGGCTTAGCTGCATCAACGTGTACCAACAGCCCAGGATATGAAGGCTAAAGGTTCAAGGATTCACATGATTGATCTCTTGGCCAACATCTTATCTCTTAGATCAGGCCAGCCTTTTGGAGAACAAAAAAAGTCAAAGACATTGTCATGGGAAGTACTGTGATCTATCTGAGAGGTAATACATACAGTATCTGGAAGCAGGGGCATCCCTAACATTGTCACCACCTGAGGCAGCGGAAGGAAGGCCTCTGCATCATGTCCCGGCCCAGTATTGGCCAGCATCGCACCCAGTGATGTCACTGGTTGCCAGGAACTGGGAGGGCTGCTGGCCCGAGCATCCCAGGTTGCTAAGAGCTGGGCAAGAAGGAGTGTATGGCCTGCACATATATCCCCCACACAGATTTTAGCAACCTAGGATGCTCTTGCCATAAAGGGGGCAGCAGGCACACTGCAAACATTGTGCAGCAAAGTGCCCCCCCCTCCCATATGAGCCAAAGAGATAGATGCAGCCTGAGACATTGTAGTTATAGCCCTGTCTGGAAGTGTTACAATTCACATTATTTATCTTGCATGGAAGCAAAATGAAAGAATACATTTAACACTAAGGGGCCTATTTATAAACAATTCACAGGGACATTCGCCCTACGAATTTCTGTGAACATACGTTCTGTGTGAATAGAGGCAAAAAGGAAAAGTAAATTGCAGTAAGTGCTGCAAAAGGGGCCCAAACCAAGTACTGAGTACATATGCATGCTTGTACTTTTCAGAGGTCCGATATTGTTCTATGTACAATCCTTGTTTTATGGATTGCATGTAATAATCTACTTTTTTGAGGTTGTGGATTTGGGGTTCTTGGGGTTTTCATGAGCTGTAAGCCATAATCATCACAATTATGACAAATCACGGCTTGAACTATCTTGCTTTGTATGTAATGAGTCTCTCTCATATATTAGTTTCACCTTTTAAGTTGCATTAGTGAAATAAATGAACTTTGCACGATATTCTAATTATTCGAGTTTCACCTGTATTACAGGTTGACTGTAATACCCCAATATAGCCACTAGATGAAGCTGAGGAGCATAGGAAAGAGATATTTATTAAAGGAGAACTATGGGGTAAGTGTTTTTCCCCATAGTTCTCCTAAGGGTCACGGGAGGCCACAAACTAGCGTCCTCCCATGACCCAAAGCTCAGTATACCGCGAGCTACTGTCAAGATCCACCGAGCTGCGTGAGTGACAGCTGGCTCTGCCTATCTAGAGGCAGAGCCAGCTGTACCCACCCCCTCCCCCGTCCGTTCCGCCAGTGAGCGCTGGAGGATTGGAGCGGGGAGGGGGGGAATCCCTGCAGGGAGCCGTGAGTGACAGTCACGGCTCTCTGCAGTGCTCTCTTCCCGATTTATTGAGCCGACGTGTGACAGTTTCATTGTCTAATGTGAAAATCACTCACCTCATAGTTCTCCTTTAAGAATGACTTGAGAAAAAGTATTCTATGGACACAGATATACTAAGCATACAGAATGGCTTGTTGTATATCTATTAGAATACAATAAAATAGAAAAGAGGACCTTTCATTAAATTTATAAGTAAGTCTCTTTTATTCCCCCTCTTACTGGTAGATAGAGCCATCCATGGATCGAATTTTGGGTGATTCTGCAGGAAACGGCTGAAATTCTCACCTGTATGGCCAGCTTTTGAGCTGTCTGCAGTTAAAGTAGTAACTCAGTATAATAGAGTCCAGAGCGTAGGGAACATTTTGGTCTATTGCTTAGAGGTTGCAAATACAAACCCTGACTTTGTGTCCTTCACTACAAACCGAGGAATGACAAACCTTCGTTGTGCCATGTGTTTGAATGCGCTGTTCATTATACAACCTTTTATGTTCTGCTTTATGTGGAGTTTTCCTGGCAATGACTCCGGGATCCATAAAACACGCAATCTGTTATGAGCACATTGAGCCTATTTGGTGTTCGGGACGTACAAATATAAAGCGACTTGACACGGGTCAATTGTCTCTATTGCACATATCACATAATTTACTACATATTATGCCCATGGTTTGTCCTTCAAGTTATATTTGCGCTAAAGAGCAAAGCGTGCCGATGTCACAATGCCCATCATGGCCACCTTCAAAAAGGAAGTTCAGCCTGTGGAAGGTCATTCTGGCAGCTCCAAACATTTTTTTGAATCGTTACACATTTATAACATAATTTTCCCCGAAGAAGAACTCCAATCAAATACTTAAAGTGTACAGAGTCTAATGAGAGCTCCGTACGAAAGGTTCAAGAGTCCAAATTCTTTCATATTAGTGTTAGTTCATAGCAGGAGAACACGTTACAGGGGCGCAAATAAAAATCTCCATCCTTCTTCACGGCTCAGGTGTCGTAAATGGCAGGACACAAGGAGCAAAAGGAGAGCGTGTAGATGTTCCACTGCCCATCACGGACATCCTTCAACAGGAAGTTCAGCCTGCAAAAAGACAACTCAGGTTGTTGTAAATGGTAGACCTCAGAGATGGCATTACCACCAGAAATACTTCTTAGCTGTATGGAAATTACAAGATGCCATGAATCAATGGGGTTGGTTTACTGCCTTTGGGCGATCCCTTAAGACTCATCTCTTCAGGGAAGCCTATCCCACCTCAACCTTACCACTCAACCATCATGTTCTCATACAGTTCATTCCCACACAGCTACCTCCTCATGTATCACTTGCCCCTCCCTTCTAGATTGTAAGCTCTCATGGGCAGGGCCCTCCTTACCATCTTGTCTTGAAATGTATTGTGATTGTAATGTCTTCCTTATATTGTAAAGCACTGAGCAAACTGTTGGCGCTATATAAATCCTGAATCATAATAATAATAAAAGCAAATAGGCCGTGCACTTACACTTTGCAGGGGAACTTTCCCTTAGTGAATGAAGTGAGGCTCTGCTGACTTCTATCATCCAATATTGTGCAAGCAAAAATCCTTTTTTTTTTTTCCTTGCTTACAATTGGATGAGAAAGGTAAGGGGGTAATTTACAGGCCAGATCAGAAACTATAGATCTGGCACTGGATGACACTGGTACTAGATGGCATCCAACACCCAGTGTCAACTAATACCGGTGTCATTGTGCGTTGGTGTGATTGGTCACAGCAATCGCTTGGCTACAGGGACACACCAATTGACTTTGTACCCTCTTTTCCAATGGACAGTGCCATCACGGTGTGAGCGCTTGAGGGTACCATAAAAGATAGTATCCAAAACTGTCTATGAGCAATGCTGTAAAAGCCTTTACAGGTCATTAACCATGAATGATGGCCCTAGAAATCTGCTGTGCGCTGCAGTACCTATTATGTATGGCTGAATTATCATTTTTGTAGGTAGGTACACTTGACAAAAGTGATTATGCCTTAAGATTTTTTTTGGGGGGGGGTTATTGATTTTTTAAACTTTTTTTGTCTGTCTACTATGTGATAGCATAGTGAAAGTGATGGACTCCCTTTAAGGAGACATCAGGGGTCTAGTAGGCCCCTAATGTGACCTCTACACTTCACTGGAGCTAATCAACCATGGATTGTGCTTAATTGGCTTGTTCTTCAGCCACAGAGGACAAGGGGGGAATGATAGCCCTGAACCTGGAAGTGATCAGCGGGATCACTTCCAGGTAGCCAGAGATGATCAGCAGATGGATATTTTGCTGGGCTCACTCCACAATGATACATGGTCAGCCCGGAATACATAGTGGTGGGGGTAGCTTCAGAGAAACTGGCACATTCTGCAGCCCATAGGCTTTACAGCTGCCTGAATCACTGCAGGTTGCAAAAGAAATGTAAACAGACCTCTGGCAGCTATAAGGACCAGAACCAGGCTGGTGCTGCCGCAGATGTAGCGTCTGAGGCAGCTGAATTAGTAAAGCAAACCTATAGTGAGAAAACACCTAGGTGGCCATTGCTGAGCTCTCCTTTTAAAATGCTGGTTGCATGGCTGTAAAAAGTTTAAAAAGTATCTGACTTTCCTATGACTTCACCGGTCAATGACTTAGAAAGCATTGAGGCCAGAGATGCCATCACAGGACACTGGCAGGAGGAACCACGGGGAGATATGTTAGACATGCTATACTGTACAGTGCCTGAACAATGGACTCACTGCCCACCAGACATGTTCTTTTAAACAGAAGCTCTATTAGGACTTTGTTATACCAGCGTCAGGGTCACTTTAAAGTACTCACATTCCCATATGTATCTGAAAATCCTTTACATCCTTTACAGCAGACTCCCTTTAAATCATTGTACCCCTTTTTTCTAAAAATAAAGAAGATTTATGTCTCTCTCTGGCAACACTTAGCGCTGATGTATATTGTCCTGGCTGTACGGTTTACAGCATGCCATCCACAATGAACTCTTGCTTGGATTTCATATGCTATTAAAGTTATGTGACAGAACATTGTGTCAAAATAAAAGAGAAGGGCGATTGTTTTATTGTAATTTTTTTTTTCCCTCCGCTGAATCATTTGCGCCAATCGTCTCTGAATGTGTTTTTCAGGGTCAATGACTGTATTCTCCGAGTGAATGAAGTGGATGTCTCCGAGGTGTCGCACAGCAGAGCTGTAGAAGCGCTAAAAGAAGCCGGTTCCATTGTCCGTCTATATGTACGCAGAAGAAGACCCATCCTTGAAACTGTTGTAGAGATTAAACTTTTTAAAGGGCCAAAAGGTAAAGTGTTTTCTACATTTCCTATTGTCGTGTACGTAATTTATCTGCACAAAGGCAACGTGCATATTAACAACGCAGATTTTCTTTGTTTCTCTGCTGCGTAGAATGTGTAGAAGAAAAGCAAATGAAACAAAAAGGAAATTCTAAAACTCTTCCGGGGAACTAATTTCTAGTTACTGAAAATACATCAACAAATAACATACTTAAGTCCCTATGACCAAATATTGTACTTTTAGAGTAGATGTAAGTACTAGTAGACATGTGCGATTTGTTTCATTCCGAATCAAAATTCGTACGAATTTTAAGTAATTCTGACATTCGGACACATCCGATTTTCTGAATCCCAATGTGTCCGAATCCGAATTTCCGTTTCCGAAATTTTGGATCCCATCCGAATTTCGTTTAAAAACGTAATTGAATACTTCAGAATACTAATTATATATATATATAATACTAAAGCTGATGCTCCAAGACCCAAATGGAGTCCAAATTTCCGAATACCATTCGGGAGCTCCAGAATGCCATTCGGGTCTGGAAGCTTCAGCTTTAATATTATGTATGTATATGGCTCCCAGACCCGAATGGCATTCTGGAGCTCCCGATTGGTATTCGGAAATTCGGACTCCTGAATTCCATTCGGGTCTAGTAACCCGGAACCGAATTTGATTTCGGACCCGAATCCTGAAGTAACGAAATATCCGAATTGAACCTATTTTTTCCGCAGCTTACATGTCTAGATGTAAGCTCCCAACTGTTTATTACAGACAACTGTCAATTTTTTCTTACATAAATAATGGTTTTCATATTTTTTCTGTTGAATTTACATGTTGCTTATCTCCTGCGACCTTTTTTTCAGTCACTTCCATCTACATGTACTCCAGTAATGGCTGATCCCAGATAGCAAGCAATTGAGCTGCAAGTTTGAAAAGGACTTGCTAAAGTATTGCAGACTTGCCAAGCTTCACAATTTTGTTGCACAATTACAGCAAGTCTGCATTGCAAGTCTCCAGACCAGCGAGCTTGCAGAGCTCTTGCTAAGACCTGCAGGACTCTTGCTGTAGACTTGCCAAGCGAATTTGCTACAAATTCAAAAAGTGTCACCTAGAACTTGTGCTGCGAGTGTTCTGCAAGTCTACAACCTGCCCGGAATATGTGCAGCAAGTTAACAAGAATTACAATTTAACCCTGACACAAGTTTGTGGCAAGATATCCTTGCTATCTGGGATGGTATTTCAAAGTATGGAGGTTTCCCAATTGTGTTGAAAGAGCCTCTCATAGTCACCTTTAGAAGCCTGTGTGACAGGGAAAAATGCTTTAGTAGAATTGGAGGACAGGGACAGGGCGTTGTCACCCCATAACAGGAAGTGCCTGAGCAAGGAACTTCATGGCAGCAAAGTGGCTTAGTGGCTAGTATGATATTGTACTGAGCATGCCCAAGACGGCTGCCTCACCATCTGCCCCAACAGCAAATAAAAGTGCTTTGGGTCCCGGGGAGAAAGTGGTATTTAAATTAATATGGCAGAATAAACAGTTATAACTAAACTAAAGATTTGACAATATTGAAAATGATTTAAATACACATGTTTTATGAAAGCTTAGTGATTGAGTTTATATACATTATACTTTAAAGTTCTTCTCAATGCTCCATTTACTGACGTGAGGCTTCAGCATGACCTCACAGTATGTCTGGCCCCCTCCTGAATGACATCCTGAATGACATAATTGGCATCCCAATTTTCATGGGAATTTGTGGCTATTCAGCCAAAAGAACATTTGTGAGGTCAGGTACTGATGTTGGATGAGAAGATCTGGGGTTCCAATTCATCCTAAAGGTGATTGATAGGAATAAAATCATAGCTCTGTGAAGGCCACTCAAGTTCCTCCACATCAAGCTGGCCAGACCATGTCTTTATGGAGGTATCTTTGTGCACAGGGGCACAGTCATGTTGGAGCAGAAAAGGGCGATCTGCAATTGTTTCCACAAGATTGCACAAGCACAATTGTCTAAAATGGCTTTGTATACTGTAGCATTAACAGTACCTTTTACTGGAAGCATTTGGACACAATAATTTGGAAGTGTGTTCAGATATTTTTAGCCATATAATGTATATACAACCTTTGATATAAAAATAAACATTCATTACATTACAAAGAATTCCTAAAGCACCATGGGTTAGCTGAAGACTGAACACAGCAGAATAGCCAGCTTTCAGGCATCCTTTGTCTGACTGCAACCTCATACTAGGTTGTCTGAAGGAATGAGTCACTGCTCTGACCACAGGGTTCTTTCAGCGCAGTGGTAAGAGCAGTAATTCAGTTTTCCAACCAGTTGTATGACAATGATTTAGCTTCATATGGTAAAGTAGACTAAAGTTCCTCCGGCTGGTTAGAGAAAAAAATTACATAATTTTCATGAATTTTATATAAGTTGACAAAAAAAATGTTTTACTTTTTTTTTTTAGCTCTGACTATAATATTGAAAAAAAAATCTTATGTTCTCTTTTAATATGACGCTATAAATATATATTTGCTTTAAATGTAACTAATGATGATTATGAACCCCGTACAGGGTTGGGTTTCAGCATCGCAGGCGGAGTCGGAAACCAGCACATTCCAGGGGACAACAGTATTTATGTAACCAAAATTATTGAAGGAGGAGCAGCACAAAAAGATTGCCGTCTACAAGTTGGGGATAGGTTGCTGATGGTGAGAATGACTGCTACATACATTTATCATTTGAGGCTTGATAACCAACTTCACACAAAATGCATGCCTCTATTATGGGCAGGTATGGGCAGGGTTCTAATTCTTGCCTGGGCTGTCACTTCTGTCAGGGACTCCAGCATGGCGATCTCAGCACACCCCTGGCATGACCATGGCTTGGACTAAGAGCTTGGCTTTTTAGTTATGTTACCTGTGTCACATGTCTGGGAGTTCTTATTTTTCATTAAACAAGTAGTACATTTGTACATTTCCAGGTAGTAGGAAGTAGTATGTTTGTGCTCTGAGCACTTAAATGGATTCTCCACAGCAACATATGGATAATTTACTAGGACCAATGACAACCACGATTTGGCTACAAAGTTAGTTTAGCCAATCAAGCTGCATTTTAGTAAGTGTTTGTAACAGTATAGTAGAGCGTCTTGCAACCTGTATTTGAATATCCTTAAACGCAGGGAGATTCTTGCACTGTAGGTCCTCCGATACAGTTTTCTCTACAGCAAGGAAAACAGTGAGTAGCAGGAATGAGCCCAGGTTTGGGCTGAACCCAATCAGAATCTGAGCTCCTCTCAAACCTGAAAGAGCTCCTCCTGAGCACAGAAGGAAGCTCTTTCCATGCCACCCAATGAGGTGAGGAATTTCACAACTATCCTGTTTCCCCTAAAATAAGACTTACCCCGAAAATAAGACCTAGTACTATTTTTGGGAATTGCTCAAATATAAGACCTACCCCTAAAATAAGACCTAGTTGTGACCATTCCCAGCGACGGTGGTGGCATAAGGGGAACTTGAAGAGATGTGGTAGAGAATCAGCGGTGCCAACGAAGCCAGCGCTAGAGGAAGCAAGGCGGCACCGGAGGGAGCAGAGCCGCATGAGCCGATGCCGCCTCTATAGCGCCGGCTCCTGTCACAGGCGGATTGATACCAAATGCACTCCGCCAGTGAGGAATTGATAGTGAAAGAGCGCTTCGCTCATTCTGGCCAGCAATTGATTAGCAAATTGCTCTTGGAAAGGTACGGCAACCCTGATTGCCCTGATCACCATATTTTTGTACATGAATACATGTAGACTGTTGTACAAGAATAAGTGTGGATTGTTGTAAATTAAAAAAAAATAAGACCTACCCCGAAAATAAGACCTAGTGTGTTTTTTTGAGCCAAAAAAAAAATATAAGACAGTGTCTTATTTTCGGGGAAACACGGTACAACTTAATGTAAGCAAAGGATGGGGTGCATTGATGTTATTGACCATATATGGCTACATGGCTATATTAGGTAATTGACATGTGCAAGACAAAAGTCTTGCGATGGTCGTAAGGTGTATGGGCACCTTTACATTGCCATATAATCGATAAAACGAAATCACCTGCACTCCATACAGCATACAGACCTTGGATGAAAGGTTGGTGCTTGAAGTGACAACACGAATGGCGCCGTGTCAGATACAGTCCATAATAGAAGTCACCAGCACTCGATGATGTGTGCAAGAAGTAAAACACTTTTTATTCAATCGCCACATGCGTCATACAGCCAACGTTTCGGGGCCACGCAGGGTCCCTTCTTCTGGGCGACAGTGACCTCACTATGTCGCCCTGAAGAAGGGACCCTGTGTGGCCCCAAAACGTTGGCTGTATGACGCATGTGACAATTTAATAGAAAGTGCTTTACTTCTTGCACACATCATCGAGTGCTGGTGACTTCTATTATAACATGGGCATATAACGTAAATGACGCCAACAGAAGCATCCTGCCCCTATGTTTATGGTCAGCTGATTTGGGAGGCCCGTGTAGCTTACACATTGAAGTAAACTCATCCCAACTGAGCAGCACAGTAGCAATATCAATAAATCTAGTAAAACTAGGAAACAGAGGCAGAAGTGCCTTAGATCTCACACTGCAGATATCTAGGTATATGGCTATAAGCAAACAAGGGCCTAGGCACAGTCACATCAGAAAGTGCACAGCTATTTTTCAGAAGGAATTCAAGGCAAAGGATTTTTCAGGGCACAATTTTTATTCCTGGATGTTCTACATACAATAGACATGTGCGATTCGTTTCGTTACGAATCGAAATTCGTACGAATTTTCCTGAAATTCCGAATTTCGGAGCATCCGAAATCCGAATGGCAGTTTCCGAATTATATCCGAAATACACGAAATTCCGTTAACGAATTTCGGATCCGAATTTCTTTGAAACAGGAACTAATATTACCCCTGTAAATGAGGTTGAACAGCATGACAAGATTTTTTTTTAATCCGAGATACGGATCCGCTGCTGCTGATGCATTACAATACACAGTTACACACACAGGCAGGAAATACGAAATTCCGTTGACGTATTTTTGTTCCGTTACGAACATTCGTTATATTGAAGGTAAAAAGCAAAGTACATTTATATTGGAGTTCATGGTAGTTTTTTTTTTTTATTCCGAAATACGGAATTCGTAATACGGAATCCGTTAACGGAATTCGTATTTCGTTTTGGTTGACCAATCAGAGGTTCTCTTCTGCTGCTGAGAGTTGCATTACAAATACAGGCAGGAAATACGAAATTCCGTTGACGTATTTTCGTTCCATTACGAACATTCGTAATATTAACGTTAAAAAGCAAAGTACATTTATATTGGAGTTGATGGTAGTTTTTTTTTTTAAAGTCCGAAATACGGAATTCGGAATACGGAATCCGTTAACGGAATTCGTATTTCGGATAAAAAAACAACTACCACTCCAATATTAACAAAGGTATTTTGCTTTTTAACTTCATCATAACGAATGTACGTAAAGTTACGAAAATATAACCGCCACTAATGAAAATTCGTATTTCGTACGAATCCGAATTGAGTTCAGTTACGAAATACGAAATAACGGATATTCCGAAACGAAACAGAACAAATTTTTTGATGGCGCACAAGTCTAACATACAACAGCAAAATATTACACACAGCTGAGGAATCTCCATAATCTCTTCATAATCAATGCAATAAAAACATTTTCTCTTTGAGAAATTGATTCCACAAAATGGGCAGTTCAATAAATACATGAAGTTCCTGGCAAAAAAATCCCAACAAATTCAGCCGACACCATATTTCTTTGTTGTGTCAAATGATCGTTTGTGAAAGATCATTTAAAACCATCAATTGTCATTATGTGTATGCCCAGCATAAGAGAAATAGTTTAAAAATGATGTCTTGCATCTGTCTTAAGATGCCATTTTAGAAATAGCATGCAGAGACTTAATAATTTTTTTTCTTTTATCTCTTGTCTTTAAGGTTAACAATTACTGTTTAGAAGAAGTGACACATGAAGAAGCTGTAGCGATTCTGAAGAACACGTCAGATGTAGTTTACATAAAAGTAGGGAAACCCACAACAATATATATGACGGATCCTTATGGACCTCCGGATATCACTCATTGTAAGTACTTTATGGAATGTAATGACATTATATTCAGACTAATCAGTTAGTTAAAGGGTAATTTTAGTTTCCCAGGTGAATGTGCAAAAATGGAGTTGCCCCCACCAATCCCCCCCCCAACCGCTCGTACCTGTCAACGGTCTCTCCTTCCCCTCCACGGCTGCCGGTGTAATATATCTATACTTGGGATTGCAGCCCTGCGGTATGTATTTCAAATTTCGCAAGCACTCATTGGTCAGCACGGTCAGGTGACCAATAAGAAGCCCTTTAGGAAGAAGGCTCTTGTTGGCTTTAGCGGAGCACACCACTCTAAGGGCCTACAATATGTACAGCAACTTTTGTTCATGTCATAACTGCTTTTCTCCTCATGCAAGTCAATAGGAATGCAAAAGCAGCTTGGTGCAGCTTAGTCGATCAATTTTGCACCTGCGAAGAAACATAGAGACCCACGCGGTCAGTTGACCAATGAGAACCACTTTTTAGGAAGAAGGCTCTCATTGGCTGTAGAGGAGTATTCTTCTTTCATCAGTGTAGTAGAAATTCCCTCCAATTGTGCCCTAATGAGGATCGCTGATTTGCTTTTTCCAGCCAGTAAATTGCTCCATCCTTAGATACACATTGCTTTCAGCCTTGACGGGCAAAGAGTGGAGCACCCTTTTAAAGTACTTGCATTCATGGGACATTCGTTGTATCATCCTGGCAACATCAGAGACCTTAACACTCTTAAGGGCCTACAGTATGTACAGCAACTTTTGTTCATGTCATAACTGCTTTTCTCCTCATGCAAGACAATAGGAATGCAAAAGCAGCTTGGTGCAGCTTAGGTCAATTGCAGGTCAACTGCAACTGCAAAGAAACATAGAGAACCGTCTCAAACTGATTACAAATGCAAGCTAAAGGCACCTGAGTCAGCCAAAAAATCAGGAGTCCTTTTCTGTATACTCAAAGCTAGAGGGTCAACAGCTAAGCAAGTAGTATTTGCAGAAGGAGAAGTCAGAGTTAGGTTCCCTATAAGGTTGGTGCATTTCACAAGACTATCCCTATTACCTTCTAAAAGTAAGTCCGTCTTAACAATGTGGGCAGATCAAGTCTGTAATGAAAGAATGCATAAGCAGAGGTTACCATCAGTGTATGTAACACGTACCTGGCTGGAGACTGGTTGGATACGGAGGCTCCCCTTGCACTATGTGTCCCCCAAACTCTGAGGATGGGAACAGAGCTTAAGAAACAGCAAGCAGCATGGGTGCCAGTGTATGGGGCAACACTGCCAGGTAGAAGTCCAGAATCAGGATCGGGTAAAGCAGAGCCGAGGTCACACCAGGCGGACAGCAGGGTACCAGAGCAGTAGGCAGAATCGAGGTAAGAAAAGCCAGCGGTCACACCAGTCGGGCAGCAAAGTACAAGGGATGAGGCAGAGGCAAGGTCCAGTAACAATTCCAAGCTCAGAAGGCAGGCAGCAGTAAGGAGCAGTCATGTTCAATCTGGGTCAAGATGCAGGAGCAGTAACAGGCAGAGCAAACAGGATCACAGGGAACATCTGAAAGACCATCCAGCAATTAAGCCCAGGCTGTGCTTGCTTTAAATAGGGAGATCAATTCAGAGGTACTACATCACTTCCTGTGCGCCAGATTAGCACGCCAGTGCGCGTACATCCCGATGTGCACGCAGGTGTCCGTTTTCCTATGGTATGAAAAAAGGGGCCGTGCACATGTGCAGTAGCCCTGGTTACCTTACAGCATGTTGTAACAATCAGTAGATCAGAGATAAGGAGCGTATATACTTATCCCAACTTTCCTGTGAAAGCTGAGATTGGCTCTACCCTGTAAGGATATGAATTAGGTTCTCCTACCTGTTTTGCCAGCCACCGGCCCTTTTCCTTAGCTCCAGCAATACCGACACTTCTAGGATAGAGCAGGCTCGAGTTGTAGGGTCTTTTTAGTATTTATTGCTTTGTAATAACTAGGAGAGAGGGTTAGGGTTGCAGGAAATCCGAGTAACAAAAATGGAGGACAGTGTCTTCTCTATTAGAAACAGCAATAGTAACAGGTAGCAACAGGTCCTATGAGAGTGACCAGAATAGATTGTAGTACCAGAGAACAGACAGGAACAGTCCAAGACTCTGAGGGAGAACAGGCACACGACTTAGTGCACCAACTGGCTTCTCTTCTGCATAATATCCGAGTATAGGATGAGGGATCTTTTACAGGGTCCAGACGGCAGCTCTCCCCAGCTCCTCTGCAACACTCCTCAGTAAGCAGATTCTTCCTCCAGCCCAGCTTTCATCAGGTTTCCTTTCTGTAGCATCTTTGGCCATCTACCACATGCTGGGCCTAGACCAAGCATCCTGTAGCACACAGACCTCCTCCCAGGGAAGGCCCCAGGGGAGAGAGAGTTCTGGAAAGTGTTCCCAAATATTTATCGCGTTCCTTCAGCTACACCTCTGAGTGAGCCTGCTCAGGGATTGGTCAGAGTCGGTTGCATATTCATAATCTGAGGATTAATCCTCCCACACTGTATACTGAGACCCCAACCAACAGGTAGAATCAATCAATCTACCAGAGTTAAGGTGGCCGTACACCTTACAACCATCGCACGACTTTCGTAAGGTCATTAATATTTCGTACGACCTGCCCATCTTGTACAGGCAGATCGTACTTGCGATCATCGCAAGCCCTCCCCGCATTGCAATGCTGAGCGTGCAGTGCTGCCGAGCACGCTGCCAACCCGCCGAAAATCATATGATTTTCGGCAGGTTTTCCAGTGTGCTAGGAAGACGAAAGTCGTGCGACCGTACAGCAGATGAGGTCGCACGCTGCCCATACACCTGCCGATTACTGCACAATCGTGGGATCACCCGCTATTATTGTACGAGAATCGTGCAGTGTATGGGCACCTTTAGGGAAACCTGCAAATCTCAGAGCAATCAGCATCCAGACTGACTACAGTCTAGATATAACACTAAATTTAATAGCGACATAGCAGAAGACGCTACAGATCATTTTGACATACATTATTCTTTGAAGGTAATGTCTGCTTATGCTCCAAACATCATTATAAAGAAAAAGGACTTAATTTACTAAAGGCAGATCGGCTGTTCTTTTTCGCCAGGAAATTTGCACTTTGCAATGGAATTTCCCCTTAGCTTAGTGAATGTGGTGAAATTTCACTTAGCAACGAATACCGAATCACATGCAGAAAAATGTATAAAACAATGGATTTTTGCTTGCACGTGATTGGATAATGGAAGTCAGCAGAACTTCACATCACTTACTAAGCTAAATGGAAAATTCCCTTGCGAAGTGAACAGCGTATTTGCCCGTAGTAAATCAAACCCTATAATATTCAAGGAAAGGATGCTGTACAAGCAAATGGCAAATCCGCTCAATGGATTAATTTTCTCCTGCAGTGCAAACAAAGGTACATAGGCAAGTACTCTTAGTTTACTGTTTACTCATTGGTAAAACAGGAGGGTACAGACCAGGGGCAGGCAAACTCAGCTGTGGTAAAACTACAAATCCCATCATGCATCTGCCTCTGGGAGTCATGCCTGTTGCCCTCAGGGTCCTGCAATGCCTAATGGGATTTGTAATTGCACCACGGTCGGACGGATGGAGTTTGCCTACTCCTGGGTTAGATAATGTTGAATGGATAAATAAAAATGCCTGTAATTATAAGTGCACATAAATATGAGGGAAAATAGCCGTACAGTTAAAAGATGAAACCAAATTAACTTTCCAAGCTGCAACACGTTTTCATCACCGATGACCCATGTGAACCCCTTTAGCTTCTGCAACCTGAGAAAGACCTGGAAATTTGACATTACTGGTAAGTAGTGGAAATTTTTTTGAAGCCCAACTCTGGGATAGAAAAAATACTTGCGGTGCCCCCCTTCCACCCGCACTGAAGGGATTGAATGCATGCTAACTCTGGGGAGTAGAGGAAGTGACTGTATAAGTTACTGTATTCCTCACTCCGAAGCTAACCTCTTCTTCATGACACTCTGGGTTGTGGGCAGTCCCTTGGCATCACTACATTTCAGGACTGTACGTTCTGCATTGTATGTGAGGAGGTCAGCGTGGGATCGCAGGTTGGAGTGCTATACGGAGGAGGGTTTGGAGGCCTATGTGCATAGATGAGGCGCACATGCAAGAGTGAGGACTAAGGTAATTATTATACCTTATTACTCTACCCTTAAATATAGTGAGCATTTCATTTGTTGGCCTACCCCTAAACAGGCCACCCCCCTCCTCCAGCCTATCATGAATGCTGCTGTCAGACTCATTCAACTCACCAACTTCTTAGTGGCCGCCGACCCTCTCTGCCAATCACTCCACTGGCTTCCAATAGCGCAATGCATACAATTCAAAATACCTCTGCATCTCAAGATATCACCCAACCCGCTTTCTCCACTCCTCCCAAGACCTCCTGTTGTCTAGCTTCCCTCATCACCTCCTCCGACGCTTGCCTCCAGGACTTGAGAGTCTCTCCCATCCTCTGGAACTCCCTATAACAACCTTATCCACCTACCTCCAAATCTGTCTGCCCTTAGGCCAGTGGTTCTCAACCTTTCTAGGGCCGGGACCCCTTGGTAACATTTGCCAGGTTGTGGTGACCCCCAACGGTAAAATTTAGGGTTGACGCGGCTGCTGCAGCGACATCTGGAGGCGTGGCGGGAGAACTGACACTGCTGCGCTAGGAGAGGGCTGAGGAGGACTCTCACCGAGCACAGCAGAAATCACACAGCGACTCACAGGTTGAGAACCACTGTTGTAACAGCTAAAATGGCAAACCATATAACACAAGCCGAGGGTGTCAGCTGTTATTATTAATAATAATGATGATAATCTAATAGCGATCTAATAGTGGGAGACTCCCGGCGACCCCGGGCAAATTGTCATTCGACCCCCGAAGGGGTCCCGACCCACAGGTTGAGAACCGCTGCCTTAGGCATTCCTTGAAAAGTCACCTCTTCAGTGAAGCCTATTTCACCTCCTCTTAAAACCTGTACATCTACTCCTACAATCAGCACACCCCTCACAAGTATTACCTTCTATATCACTTGCCCCTCATTGTAGATTGTAAGCTCTCGTGAGCAGGGTCCTCTAATCCTTTTGTATGGTATTGTATTGTACTTGTACTGTCTTCCCACATGTTGTAAAGCGCTCATCAAACTGTTGGCACTATATAAATCCTATATAATAATAATGATAATAATTTAACCCTTGTAGCACGGGGGAGTCCACTGCAATAGCAATTTTTTTTCTTGTGCCCGGAGTTGGGTCATGTCACAAAAATAGTAACAATATCATTTTTCAAAAATGTTTCAATGTGCTCTCTGTGAGAGGTAATAAATACCTGTATTACGCTATAGAGTACCTCCGATGCATGCACTCAACCTTAAAGAATAAATATCTAATGCCAACTTACGGTGGACTCTAAGGTCCACTTTCAATGTGAGCCCCAGGATAACACGTTTATCTTTTATCACAGCATATTCTCCACCTCTGGAAAGTCACATCCTCAGCAGCGCTAACAATGGCACACTGGAATACAAGAGTCCTCTGGCTCCAATCTCCCCAGGAAGATATTCTCCTATCCCAAAGCACATGCTTGTGGAGGATGACTACACCAGGTCAGAAAACGTCTTACATATGTTTTATTTTTAACACAAGCTGCCTTGTAGCGTCAGTATCACTGTGTGGGGAGGACGCCTCCTTAGACTGCCATAGACGTTGTAATGATTTTTTTCCCGCTGTGGACTTATACTTTGAGGAATTGCTGAATGTCCTACAAGCTTTACAGTACTGTGTGTGCTTTATTTATTGGGATGCACTGTAACTTGCTGAAATAAACTTAGGAACGTTACTCTGGCTTTCTCCGTTACTTCCAAGAGAAACTATGGGTCAATAATAATCAAGTTTTTGGCTGGTCCAAGGAATATGTTAGCATAAGTTGCACCAGGGTCGGACAAAAGCCAGAATCCAGAACCAGCTTGTTTTTTAAGCCTTTTGTTTTGCCAGTATAAGATTCTTTCCTGGCTCCTAAAACATCTGCTGGTTCATAGGTTTCATTGGCTTGCTGTTCAAGTTGACATTCACTTGTCCACCCATGGCTTATGCTAATCTTCATATGTATAGATAGTGAACAAAAATCTATAGTATGAATTGAACAAAATGTCCTGAATTCTATCATTTAGTATTCAAAGCTACAGGTTTTTTTTTGTGGTGTGAAATTTCAACAGTGGAAGAAGTTGACAAGTTCTGAAAAACGATGGGATAAAAAAGTCTTTGGGGATAGGCGGAACAGATTGCTACATGGGGAACAATTAATTAAATTAATCCAACAGAGCATGTCGTTAAAGTCTAATATTCTTGGTATTTCATATGGAAAAATGTTTCAAAATATTTAATGGTCGGATAAAATATTGGAACAATTTTCTTCAAAATCTCTAATCACATGGTGGCCTTTAAAATGTAGGTTAAATGGGGAAAAAAGAAGACTTATGAAACAAGCACAAAGTAAAACAATAGTATTGTTGACTATAGCAACCAATCACAGCTTGTGTGAAAACATCTATAAATAGACTTCAAAGTGTGGATGATAAAAGGTCCTCAAACTGTTTGTATCTCAGGGCATAGAGGTCCAAGGTGGGCAAGAGGCTTCAGTTTTTAACCTCTGCCAATTATTATTTTTTAGTTAATATCCTGTAAAAAGTGGAATCACATGTTGTAATTTAATTAAGACAACTCAGGTGTATCATTAAGCTGAAGAACCTTTAAAAAATGGCAAATAACCTCAAATAAATCTCTACCCACAACATTAGTTTTTTTTATTGAACAGAGAGTGATGGATACAGCCTGTCTGTGCAACATTTATTTTACTTACATGAACTTTCTCTGCCAGTCTCCTCCCCTTGCTTATTAGAATCACATCAACATGGCAACAGGCTTTTCACATGAGTTAAATTCACATGAATTTATCAAAACTGACGAAAGCAGACGAAATCTGGAGCAGTTGTCCTCAATATTTGTGTAGATATACAGTATTATATATACAGTATTTTGGGTATCCAAAATGAAACTATGGTAACTTTAACCTTATAGTTTTTTTTTTATGTTTTTGCCTACTGGGTAATCATTGTGTAGCCCAACACAGAAAACTTTTAAGGGTCATTGTGCATTGATTGCACATGTGTTGGATTCCTTCCACTGCCTGGACTGAGCTCTGAGTCACATGCATCAGTGTTCTATTGTGATTTGGTTATCACCTTCAAAAATCACAGGAACCGTATAAGATACTGCACACTCATTGCCTGTAGGGACCGTTCACACCAAAATCGGAAGGTAATCGTAAGTCAACGGAGGGTATGTTGACTTGCAATTGTGCCTTCTGATTTCCTTCTGATCCATTGCATTGCGATCCATTTCTCAATGGATGCCAACAGAAAATGAATAGGTGTGAATGGGGCTAGTTCACACCGGATCCCTTGCGTTATGTTGCGGTGAAAAAAAAGTACTGCATGCTTTACGTTTTGTTTTTTCTCAGCACAACGTAACTCAAAAGAATAGAATGAAGCAATGTGAACTGGTCCCATTCACACCCATTCATTTTTTGGGTTACCGTCCGTTGGCATCCGATGACATCCGTTGAAAAACGGATCCGGCGTGAATGGGGCCTTGAGCCCTTTACCAGATTACCAGTCCTTACATATGTAACACAGGTAATATTTACTAGTTTAACAAAACTGTTACTGGAAACTTAACTATGGATAGTTCTTCTTTGTGAGGGATCTTTGAAGTTCATAATCAAAGCCTTCAGAAAAAAGATCTATCCAAAATTGGTGCTGATGTTCTGGTGAACGTAGACATGTTAACTTGCCCACTGGCTTCTTATTTATGTCTTTTTGGCACCCTATTGGAGAGATCTCTGCAAGTGTCCAGCTCAACTCACTCATAGGGGGTGATTTACTAACCTAAACACACGCACGCACCAGGTGCGTGTGATTTTTACACAGCAAAGTGTATTTATCAACCAAAAAGTCTCTATAAGCATATTTCTACTAATGCCATATATGGAAAAATCATGCACATGATGCATATATAATGCTGCATTGGCAGTTTAGACAAAAATGGTTAGCTCATGCATTTACATTCCTGCATTCATCAACGCAAGCAACACAATGTAGAGCTAATTTACACAACATCACCTTGCAATTCAGGGCAGGGCTTTGCACAACACACCTGCTGGGTGTGTACACACTACAAAGGTGTTTAGATTCCACCCATAGATCATGCTGGGAGGGAACACACTGCAGAGGTGTATACATGCTCGTGGTGTGTTTATAAGGTTAGTAAATCAACCCCATAGTGTTCAGTGCTGGAAGGTTTACAGAGAATTCAACAAGCATTTCATTATTTCCTTGCAGGCTTTGTATTGTCTTCAGCAATAAGTGCTCGCATGGTGTTTTCCAATAAGACATTTTCTTAATGACCCAAAAAATGTTTTAAAAAGCCAGCAGGGTATTCAACAATTTTACATCCACCAGAAACACGCCTGTGATCTACTACTGTACCTTCTCTGTGAATTTTTTTAAATTACAAATCAAAAGTAAATTGGAGTTAAGGTCAACAGAGTTCAACTGTGTGAGTACCCTTGTCAACTAACTGGAAATGAGATTTTCAGTGGTAATGAAACTGGTGGATAATGGTCTGTTTGGTTGACACTGAGTTTGGCATAATCTTTCTCTACTTCCTAATTAAGCTTAATACATATAGTATGGTAATTTGGTACAGTGCTTATTTAAAATGTTACTCTGCTCTTTTTATTTCACTTTTGCGTGAATTCATTTATGAATTATACAATATAACACATTGCCGTATTCCTGCTTTTTATAAATAAATAGAGTGCGGATGTTAGCGTTGTTTCTTTATGAAATGATAGTGGGCAAAACCAACCAGTTTTATTGTGTGCACCACTAAACAGTTCTAGAATTTGCTTCCCTCCTTGGGATTTCATGGCTGTCTTGAAAAAAAAGGAAATACTTCTGAAGGTTAACAGTCTGATGCAGACATTTTTTAGGTGGGCTACATTATGCACGATACCATGTGGTACAGGGGCTGAGCCAAGATATGGTTACAGTAGAAAAAAAATATATATATTTTGTTCACAACCATATTACACATATCTGTACAAAATAAGTCAAGGCAACTGGACTTGCTGTATTTTTCTTGAAGACATTTCACTGGTCATCCAACCAGCTTTCTTAATTCAGAATGACATAATCTGTTAGTCACAACCAGGTGTTCATTTGCATAATTGGAGTCTAGGAGGTGTTATTAACCTGCCCAGAGAGAGGTGTTAAAACAGCTTTGTATGTGGCAGACAATAGATGTCTCAATCCCACCCACCCCACCCCCACCTCTATTCAAGCTTGGCGTCTCCATTTTTACATAAATGGCCTCTTTCACACCTCTTTTAAACCAGTCCTCCTCCCTGTCTAGGATGTGTACTTGACTGTCTTCAAAGGAGTGACCTTTTTTCCTTTTAGATGTAGGTACACTGCTGAATCCTGACCAGAAGGTTTGGCTCTTCTATGCTGTGCTATACGCTGGTGTAGCTGTTGTTTTGTTTCACCGACATACAATTCTGAGCACTCCTCACTGCACTGGACTGCATACACAATGTTGTTCATCTTGTGCTTTGGCGTTGGGTCTTTTGGGTGAACCAGTTGTTGCCTCAGTGTATTGCTGGGTTTAAAGCAGACAGGGATGTGATGTTTTTTTAGAACCAGTGAAAACCAGTAAATGGTCTTCAAGAGAAATACAGCAAGTCCAGTTGCCTTGACTTATTTTTTTACAGATATACCATGACCTGGATGAATGAGAACCTTCACAGACATATTAAACACAGCCTAATTTATAAACAACATTATATTAAAGTTCTTTGAACTGTAAGTTAAAAATTAAATTCTCAAAATACACAGGGGCCTATATTAAAAACATACACCGTCCGACATTGGGTTCAAGCATTTAGTCAGATTTAGGTCAATTAAAGTTTATGTAAAGCCAAAAGTTTTTGTTTTTTTTTATTTTTGGATGTAGTAGCAAATGGTTAGGATCCGATCTGTGTCCCATTGGGAAGATTTCACTTCACTTCTTGTTCCGGAGATACAACAGAAAGAGAGGAAATATGTCACAATTTTAGGGGATTTTCCATCACTTTTAAGCCCAAGTGATAATAGTCATCAGGATGAATAGAGAGGGTCATCAGGATGAATAGAGAGGGTCATCAGGATGAATAGAGAGGGTCATCAGGATGAATAGAGAGGGTCATCAGGATGAATAGAGAGGGTCATCACAATGAATGCAGAGGGTCATCAGGATGAATCTCACAGGAGTAGACACAGAGAGCAATGAAAACTTCAGGGAGGTTCTATTTCCTACTCTATCCAAAAATAAAAAAAATAATGTTTTGAGTTTAGGCTTGTCCAGAATCAGATGATATGTTTGATGTGAATACCGCAGGCCAGTATAAGCACTGCTTCATTTATAAATCAGTCCCATGGTTGTATATAATAAAAATAAAGCATATATTGTATAGATAAATATTAGGAAGATCAATGAGTGTTGGGTG